ATAAATTTAATATTTATTTATATTTTAATTATGTATATAAAATTTTTTTTCAGAAAACTGTTTTTTAGTACGAACCGTAAAAAAACCTAACCGTCGGAACCTCCAAAACGACGTCGTTCCTCAATTTGTCAGAAAACCCCTTCATTCCTTCAATTCTCTTAACACAAGATCTCATTCCCCTTCGTCTTCTTCCCCTGGCGTGGACACTGCCCACAATCTCCAGAATGACATCCTCTCTGGCACACAAGTTTTCCACATCCAAGAACATTTGTACAAGGATTCTCACATTGGAAATGTTAAGTGGGAAAATCCCACATCAAGTATAAAAATAAGAAATTTGTAGGTTAAATACAAGGAGTGCTATTCCACTTATTGCCAATTGGTTTTAGGTTGGATGCAAACCTTATGTTGAGTCCACATGCAGAATTTTCAATATGGTATCAGAGCACTAGGTGACAGCAAGATTTTGCTGCAGCTTGTGACAGTAAGGTTTTGTTGCAATTGAGACTTAATTCAATTGAATCTTCACATATTCTTCTATCACTGCACAAAAATTATCATGGTATCAGAGCCCAAGTTCTGCCTTGGGAAGCCCGAGTTAGCTCATTTGACAGGATCCGAAGTTGTTATCGGGCCTGTATTTAAAGGAGGCGTAACCCACGTGACAGGACCCGACATTCATAACAAGTCTGCACGTGAGGGGGCGTGTTAAGTTAGAAAATCCCACATTGAATATAAAAGTAAGAAACTTGTGGGTAAATACAAGGAAGGCTACTTTATCTATTGCCAATCAATTTTAGGTTGGATACAAACCTTGTGGTGAGCCCACATGTAGGATTTTCAATATGATATCAGAGTCTAGGTTCTATCATGGGAAGCCCGTTGTTAGCCCACCTGACAGGACCCGAAGTTGATACCGGGCCTGCATTTAAGGGGACGTGTTAACCCACATGACAGAACTTGACATTCATAGCGGACCTGCACGTGAGGGGGCGTGTTAAGTGAGAAAATCCCACATCAAGTATAAAAATAAAAAGCTTGTGAGTTAAATACAAGTAAGGTTACTCCACATATAGCCAATTGGTTTTAGGTTGGATGCAAGTTTTGTGTTGAACCCACATGCAGGATTTTCAACATGGTATCAGAGCCCAAGGTTCTACCTTGAGAACCCGTTGTTAGCCCACCTGACAGGAGTCGAAGTTAATATCGGGCCTGCATTTAAGGGGGCATGTTAACCCACGTAACAGGATCCGACATTCATAGCGGGCATGCACATGAGGGGGCGTGTTAAGTGGGAAAATTCAACATCGAGTGTAAAAATAAGAAACTTATGGGTTAAATATGAGGAGGGCTACTCCACCTATTGCCAATTGATTTTAGGTTGGATGCAAATCTTGTGTTGAGCCTACATGCAGAATTTTCAATAGGAAATCTTAGTCACAGCAGTCTCTCTCCTCTTCCTTTTTTTCCACACCGACACCGTTAGGTACCCCTTGCCTGGCAGGGTGGGCACGTCTCTTCATGGCAGATTTGAGAACATCTGTGTTTCTTGCAATCCAAAAGCTTCGAACAAGGCTTGTTACAAGAAAATTTTTTGAATCCGCAGCGGCGCACATCTTCTACAGAACCACAAAAACACCGCGTTATAATCAGCTTGGGGCAGGACGGGCAAGGTCCCGGGTGGCACAAAAGCAAGCAAAAATGTCCACAATTGTGCTTCAAAGGGCGGTTGCAAACATCCCCACAAGAATGGGGCAAAATCCAGGGATCATCGCAGGGTGGATCCTCGAGTTTACCGCAGAAGCAGAAATATTTTCTGGGAATTTCTGATTTTCAGTAAGGGGATCTGCATTTGGGGCAGTGCCAGGTTGCCTGATCGGAGGCTGTCTCGGCAAACATCGGTAAGCGAGTGGCGGCACGGGTGGCGGAGAGGTCAGAGGATTGGCGGGCCCAGGATTGGATGCAGAGGAGGTGGAAAATACTGAAGCACAGCGAGGAGCAGGACCAGGTTGGATCGGAGAGCCTGATGCACTCGAGGCATATGAGGCACGATAGAACGCTGGATGAGGATGTGGTGACGAATGATTGGATCTTGGAAAGATCAACGGCGGTGAAGGAGGATGACAACGACGATTCTAAGTAGGATTTGAAGATAGAATTCGAGAGCTCAGATCCAGCATTAGAGTGGTCGCAGTCGGAGTCGGTATCGGAGTCCGAAAGTATCTGTGGCGGCTTGAAATTAGCAGAAGCCATCTTCCAGCTTGAGTCAGTGTGCCAGAAAGGATGTCATTCTGGAGATTGTGGGCAGTGTCCACTTCAGGGGGAGAAGATGAAGGGGAATGAGATCTAGTGTTAAGAGAATTGAAGGAATAAAGGGGTTTTCTGATAAAATGAGGAACGACGCTGTTTTGAAGGTGTGGACTGTAAATTTTTTTACAGTGTGTACTGAAAAACAGTTTTTTTGATCTTTTTTAAATAAAATTTATATAAATAAAATTAATACTTATCGCCTAATAATAACACACCAACGCCTTGTTCATCCTCTCCAAACCAAGTTGCTAGCTACTCATAATCCTTCGCAAAACTCCTTTCTGCAATTGAAGCATCCCAAAACATTTGCCGGTTAAATAAAAGATAAAATTATATTTTATCCAAATCCAAATGTGTTTAAGGAGTACAATGCATCAATTGAGTATTACTGGGCTTCCTTCATGAGTCTGATTCATACCATTCAACAGATCATACTATCCTGAGATGACTAATGAACCTTGTTGCCATAACCAAACATGGCAAGAGCTATGAAGGAGTTGATGTGTTGCTATTTGAGAGCTATCTCTGATGGATGCACAAGCATAACAAGTCTTAATCAATGCTGTGTAAGTTTCCAATTTTCAATCTAATGCTTTCTATTCCATCCAAATTCTACTAGATTTTCTGAACCTTGTTGCCATAGCCAAACATGGCAGGAGGAAGGAAGGAGTTTGACGTGTTGGTGTGTGAAGCTATGTGTGGTGGATGTACAAGTGTAACAAGCTTCAGATCAATGTTATGTAAGTTTCTGGTTTTTGATCTAAGGCTTTCTATTCCATTTAAGTTCTTCTGGTTTTTGTGCTCCTAGAGCAAAATTTCTATTGGAAGATAACATTTTGGAATCCAACAGGTTAATCTAAGTTCTAATTTCTTCCTAAGTTTCTTTTTCTTTTTTGTTTTGTGTTTTTCTATCAGTTATGGAATTCCTGGGATTGTTTAAGAATTTAATGTGACAACTACTTGTGAATTGAGAAACCTTGGCAAATTAGTTAAAATCCAACATCAATCCTCTATGTCCTCAACACACCTTGTTATGTTTCACCTGTTGTTTTCTATTAAGAAATATCCCAAATTCTCAAATTATGAAGACTATGATAATATAGGGAGCTATCGAGTTGTTATAAATCCTCTTGATGAAGTAAAAGGAGTTAATCCTCTTTTCTTTCAAATTTATAAGCTTTTTTTTTTTCAATGATATAGGGAGCTATCAGTTTTAAGGTTAGTGTTTTTGCTTAAGTCCATCTCCATCCATACCACCTCCCGCTTGTTTTATGAAATTTAGCAGTGATTATGGTTTTCTGGTTTACATTGTTCAAATTATCTTAGGAATAGCAGAGGGAAAAGGAGATTGGCCATGGCAGTTGAACTTAACCAGCAATAGGAGGTATATCAAGTAGATTGAACTTGTGAAACATGAAGACTTTTACAAGCTTCACTATCTGTTTCTTTTGGGATATGCAGCACAAAAAGTGAAGCAGGAAAGAAGAGGATTTAGCAAGATGTAACTTGCATTTTATGTTATGTAAGTTTCCACTTAGTGGCTGGTTTCTATTTCCCTTTATGGTCTATTAGCCTTTCATTCATGCCACGACAATCTAAGACTTGCTTTGTGATTTTTTGTTTTACAGGTTGGCCACCATTTGCCCCCAGTTGTTCATAATGATATTACAACTGATGCTGAATTATTGACAAAAGTTGATGTTTATTGCCCTTTCATCATTCTTAGGTATGCAAGCTTTTTGCATTTTTACTTTTTGTTGTGGTTATTTTAGCGTTGCCTTTTGGTAGATTATATTTATTGACTGAATACATGCAATTGTATACATGATGTTATTTATAGTTATTGATCAATGTCTATTGATATATGTTATGAATGATAAATGTTTTTTTTTTTCCTTATGCAGGATTGGTTTTGTGCTTTTTCTGGAATGACATAACTGCTAATGCAGCATGCATCAAAGGGGAAGGATGGAAGCCATGCGGTAATGAGAATTGCTACAAACGAGACCTATCCAATCCAAGAAGCATCATATTGGGGAATTGGCTCTAGTCTTCCCATCATGGGGACAGTCTGCAACATCTTACAAGAACTAAAGATCAACAATTACTGTTTTGAACAAATACACAATTGTCAAAATATCAAAAACATGTTCATATATCTGTTTATGGTGAATAGAAGGAAAAAATTCTTGATAGGAAACAGAGATTTGACCCTAAAGATTTTGCTAATTGTGTTTTCATTGGTTCCTACAAGGACTACCTAATACATAGAATGGGCTAAATTCAAAAAATCATCTATTAACTTTCAGTTTAATTTCAGTTTCATCTATTATCTTTGAATTGTTTCAATTCTATCTATTATTTTTCACATTTATTTCAATTTCATCTAAGCAGTTAAAGTTAATAGAAATCTTAACGGAAATCTTCTTAAATTTAGTACTCTAACTATGTTTCTTTTAATCTTTTAGTCTTTAAATTTATATTCACAGTAAAAATAGTTTTTATTTTTATTTTGCTAAATGGGTTTTTCAGAAAATTATTTTACAGAGCAGACTGCATTCAGTTCACCCTGTAAAATTATTTAAATACCTTTAATTTTATTTTTATATTATTTTTTTATGAACATTTAAATAATTTTATAAGACAAATTGTACAGTTTGTCTTATCAAACAGACTTACCTATGAAATTTCTTATTCTAAACTTACTGAATTTCTTTGTTTGAATTACAATCTATCTCTATAAACTATTTTTTGATTTATCACATTTTATTAGGATTTAAGTGTCACTTTTTTAAAACTCAAAGGACTGCTCTTTCCTCAAATCTAACGGCAATCTAATGTCATCTTTGTACGGTAGACTAATTTGAAATATTCTTAAAAGTTTCTAGATCATTTAGAAACGAAACAAATTTTTTAGACTAAAATGAAATTAAATTGAAAGTTAGTAGATGATTTTTTGAATTAAGCCCATAGAATGAGATTATGTATGCATATTTGTTAAGCAGTTGTAACAATCTTTGTGATCTAGCAAAACCTCCTTTTTGGATATTTGATGACATATTTTATACCTGTGTACTCTAGACTCTTTCTGTGCATTGCTTTAGCTGTTTTCTTTAGGTCATTATCCTGTTTTTACAAAAAGTCAAAAACTCAGAAATATAATCTATTATTTTAAATAACAAGAGAATTAAAATTACAGTTGTTTCTCAAAGTTATTGGGGAAATAGATGTAATTATTATCATTATAAGAAGTGTTAAGGTTATTCATTTTTATTTTTTATAAATAGTGTTTAAAATATTAATTAATTTATTAATTTTAATTTATTAATTAATAAATATTAATTTTTATATTAATTAATAATTAATAATTATAATTATTCATTAATTTAATTAAATCAAATTAATATTTTTAAGGACAATACTTTAATATTTTATATTTTTTAATAATCTTAATATTTTACTTTGTGACGATAACATTGCCCAAAAAAATATAAATTGATTTAAACAACCACTTTTGATGATATACTACTTAATTATTATTATTAATATATTGCAATTTAGCGGATTTGCTCCGCCATACTGATTTGCCTTTGCCTACAATTCAGCGATTATTATAAGTCTCCAATTTCTTCAATTCCTTCTTCTAAATCTGCAGGTAATATATCATTTCTTTTGCTATGTTCTCTTTGAGGTATAAGAAGAAATACAAAATATACAAAGTGAGCTTATAAATACAAATCATTAGCATATCAATCTCTCTTTATAATTCACTTCTTTATCTCAAATCATATTATCAGAATAAATTAAAAATAGACAAAATGCAAATGAAAATAATTAATAAATTATTTATATATGTTAGTTGTTTGCACTTAAAAAGGACATTATTCAATGGATGATAGCTTTTTTTAGACAAAAAAATGAATGATAGATATTTTTAAATTAAATACTTTTTTTTT